ACCCATGACATGGCCAAGAGGTCTCCACGTCGTGGTGAGTGTTGACTTGGTCGACCGTTGACGATTTGAGTTTTAACCCATTTGAATTTGAGTCAAACTTGATAGACTTGGGTTATTGATTAAGGATATATCTATGTTTAGTGACTAGTCGGTTCGCATGTGCGATCGGTGCAGGAAGTGAGGTCGTTGCTGTGTTTTCTTGGGTCTTCGGTTTAGGTGAGTTTCCTCACTATACTATATGCTACATTCTATATCCATGTATGTTAGGATATATGAGTAGTAGTATGTTGGTTTGAGTACCAGGGTCGGTGATCGTCTAGTTGAGTGCCCAAGGGTTGTATATAGTCAAGTAGGATAGCTTGCAAACTCTTGATCTAGGGTTTCTTGCCTGTTCTTTGTTTGGTTGTGGTTGTAAAGTGGGATCACATGTTCGATTGTCTATCTCACCTATGATTTCATATAGTTATGTATTCATTAATGATATGCTAGTGGTGATGTAGAGTACTGTACCTGGTCCGATATGTTGTAGTAAACTATTAGACAAGTAGACTAATGTATATAGTTGCTTGTGTTTATGTTCTTGTTTGATTGCTTGTTTGATTTATATGTCAACACATCGAGTGGTGTGTTAAGGTGGTTTTGCTTTGTGTGGTAGGCCAAGATACCCGGGTGGGCCAATAATGTGTTGTAGGCCATGTGTGGACCATATGTATGTTGTAGGCATGGATGGGGAACCATTCACAGACTAGAGACCCAAGGAGAATGGTCCAGGTATACGATAGGCCTTGTGAGGTGGCCCGATCAAATTGTAGGCTCATGTGTGCATGCATTGTATGCGTATTGTGGTGTGTGGTATTTTGGGAGAAATCACTAAGCTTTGGATTACAGTTGTGGATTAAATATCTTTCATGTGCCATTGGTGATCGTGAGAATACGAAGGCAAGACTGTAAACACTCATCAACAACATTGGAGATTCCGCATTTATTATATTACTCTGATTTCCAAACACTTGTATTTTGGAACAAATGAGTTTTTTTTAACTTGGGTTTCATGGAATTGATGTTTTTCCTTAGTTAAAAATGAAAATTTTGTTTGTGAAATAGGATTTTACAAAAAGTAATCAAGAATCAGAATATGTTTTACAAAAAATGAATGCCAATTCCTAGTCTCTTCTTCATGACTGCTATTGTCTTGACCTTGGTAGCTTCCCTACGAGTCTTAACTACTTCTAGTAGTTTCTTGATTTTCTTTTCTTCCAACATAGATAGTTTCTTAGATTTTTTGATTGGAACTCATGGAGGAGGAGGGGACACATAATTGAACCCATAGATACTCCATTTCCTCTCTTTATTGCATCATATATATGCTCTAGTTTTGTGTGTTGAACCTCCTCTATGACAAGTATACAGGGGAAGGAAAGATGTACATATGGTGTAATTTTCTTGAAATCATCGCCTGAATGACCATGATATTAACTCTCTCAAACATTTTATCAAACTATAGAAAAAAATATTAAATCTTCCAAATCACCATGCATTTCAAATGAGATGTCATATGAAAAACAAAAAGCATAGAAGATATAGATACTGAGATTACAAGAATAAAAAAACTTCAACCTTTATCTCGAAAATCAAAAGTTTAGAAATTTTTTGGAAAGCCTAATTGTAGAAAATAATGAACAAAAACTACAAATGAATACAAAACACCCAATACTTGATGGATGACTTAAATAAAAAATTCTAAAATTTAATGGGGGATAGATGGTAGCCATGTAAGTGTGTTTTTGGAAAGTAAGAAGAAAATTTTATAGGATACATGTGTTCTTAAATGGAAGGATAAGATTAGCGTCTGATGCCTAGTAAAAGTAGAGGCACCACATTTGGATGCAATTGATCATGAAAATACCCTCCTTTATATATATATATATATATATATATATATATATATATATATATATATATATATATATATATATATATATAGATTAAGTGTGGTTTTTATCGGTTGTTACTTTGAGGGACCAAAACTAATAACAAGATCCAACTATGGACAATTTGTGTACTACCAAAACTTTTTAGACAAAAACCGAATAATTTTGACAAAGATATTTTTGCAATTTTGTCAATGATAAAATAGAAGTCAAGTGGGCTTTTGTGATTTTTTTTATGTAACCTGAAATTAGAATAATAAAGGAAATTGTGTATTAGTATATTTATAGTCTGATTTAATTAAAGATCAAATGGTAGACGCGTAGAATTTTTAAAACGATGAAAACAGCAAAGTCAATGTTCACAACATGGTTGTCAAAATCGCGATCCTGATCGTAGGATCGTACGATCCTACGATCCTATATATGAAAAACGATCCGGATCGTAAAAGGATCGTATTTTGGGTAGGATCGCAGGTAGGATCGTAAGATCGTAGGTAGGATCGTAGGATCGAGATCCGATCCGATCCTACCTTCCTTTATTTTTTTTTTCAAATGAATGTTTTTTACCATTTTATGTCTTTTACCCTTTACCAATCTACTATTTATCATTTTTATTGTGACTTATGACTAATATTTTAAAGTTTTTATAACTTTTGAACGAAAAATTAAATGTTTGAAATATTTTTTATGATTAATATTATAAATTAAAATTATATTCTATTTTGTGGGATCTTAGGATCTCGATCCCGATCTTACGATTCCGATTTTGCAAACCTAAAAACGATCCTAGGTAAGATCCCGATCCTGACAACCTTGGTTCACAATATACAACTGCTTTTTTGAAATTTTATTAACCTAGTTAAATTTTTTTAAAAAGTAATGTTTGACAACTACTTCATGTTTAATTTATGCTTTTTTAAAATGTAAATGCAAATTAGAATTTTTTTTATTTACTATTACCAATAAATATCTAAATAACAAAGATATCCGCTTAATAATTAAAAAAATTAATGTTTTCTAGCAACAAATATAAGCGTTTAAATGGGAATGAGATTGATGCGTCATAATTATCCGCTTAATAATTAAAAAATTTAATGTTTGGAGTGATGTTAAATAAACTTTTATTTTTCTTAAACAAACCTCCACTTATCAACTAGATCATAGAAAAGGATTTCTTATGACTAAAATAATATAAAATCTTAGCAAACGAAGGAACGAGGAATGTGTCTTAGGTAATCAGCGACAAAGACAAATCTAGCCTTTTTCCAGTTTTTCAAAGTAATGGTTTATCAATGGTTATCCACTCACAGAAAGAAAACTCAAGGTTGTACAAAATTGTACAAAATTTCAGGGGTTGTACAAAAAATTTAAGGGTTAAACTACTAGAAGTCTAGAACTAATCTCATTTTCGACTTAATTTATATCACAAAATCGTCACTAAACTAACGGATTTACATTAAATTCACACTTATCAGATTTTTTGATAGATTTCCAACGGATTCATGATACTGTTTCGGATTTCCGATGGATTTCAACGAACTTTTACTAAATTTCCATTTAACGGGAAATTTGAAGGATACATGCTACATACTAGATCCGCCCTTATATTCAACCATTATCAATGAATGAGACTAAATTTCTTAGGACGATATTATACTCAATTTATCAGATAACTTCAATAAATTTGTATCTTATAATGGAATACCCATTTTGCAAACTTAATATTTATGTTAGAAGGGTAATTTTACCATAGAGGTAATTTGGTCATTTTATAAATATTATGAGATTTCAACATTATATCGGATGCATATCATTGATAAATATTGTGGTGATCCTAGGAAGTGACTGAAATCATGTTTAAGGTGGTAAATGTTGTGTTATTCGTGAACTGGAAAAGTGATAAAGTGTCGAAACTAAAATGATTATGTGCGTGTAATATAAATGTGTGCGACACGTAGAGAGCATTTGATGTAAATCATTGTTGTACGTTGCTATTTCTCTTTAACCAATGACTCTACAATTGGAGATGGTAGACAACAACACGAAGAAGGAGAATAATGTTGTGGGTGAATGGGTGGGGGGGGGGGGGGGGGGGGGGGGGGGGGGGGGGGGGGGGGGGTAGGGGTGTGGGTGTGGTGTTTGGGTTGGGAGTGAGGTGGGCTGTGGGACATTATTCTTGTTTTATATATATTTTAAATTGTAAATAGCGAAACAAGAAGGCCAAAACTAAAGAGCAAATATCTAACCTTTTGTTATTATTTTTCTTTCTACCAATCTAAGATCATGATAAGTTTATAAATTTAAAATCTCAATCAAATTTAAATTAAATTTAATAATACTTATCACCATCTAAAATATGTAGGAGGATAATAAATTCAAAAAGTAGGAGGCTATTTAGAAGGTGTTTGGGATAGCTTTTAAAATAACTTTTGGCTTTTAAATTTTTCTAAAAAGTTAAAAAAAAATCAAAAAGATGTTCAAGTATTGAAAAAGATCTTTTAAAATGATTTTTTGTATAGAAGGAAAAGAGAGTGTTTTAAAAATCACAAATCCTATCTTTTTGTGATTTTTGAGATTTTTTAACTTGAAAAGTTCACTTTTACTCTAAAAGCAAATTAAAACATTTTTTAAAGATTTTCTGTTGGAAAAAGTTACTAGCCAAAAAATCCTTTTACAAAAAGGACTTTTAACCTTAAAACGTTTTCCCAAACACCCCCTTAATTTCTCCAACCTTTTTTATGGTCTATAAGTTACTTGATTTTATTTTTGTGTTTTCTGATTACATTAATGATACAACGAAGACAATGTGGTGGATGATTTGGATAAGTATACTTGTATAGTCTATGTGTTTATGGATCTCTTTTATGTATCTATGTTTGTTGGTTGGGAAGGATGCGTATGGACCATCATCATGCGTAATTATTGTATAAATAATAAATGTTAATAATAGAACCAGAAAAGTAGAAACCAGAAACGTGAGTCTACATGAATGGTTCGGTGTAAAGTGATCTCGATAGCTTTTATATATCTTTATATATACTAGATGAAAACTTGTAATATTAATGAAACCTTTAATAAATAATAGAAGCTTTTACTTTTATATCGGAAGTATATATGATTAGTGTACGGAAGCAACATGAAAGAAAGCCAAAATTAAAGAGCTAGCATTGGTAGCAACAAATATCTTATTATTCTAGGAGATGCACATTCCAACAACGCACATGCAAATTAAATCAACCGCGATTGGCTCTAGGCTGAACTCCCACTGTTTTCAGGTTCGTAGAGTCGCTAGATCTGCGTTTTAACAATTTATCCACGTAAGAATAGACAATAAAAAAAACAACCAAGAATTGATGAATATGAAGTGAAGAATTAATCGCAATGCAAGCGAACCGGGTTGAGTAAATATTGGCAGTTCCATCCATGGGCACCGCGTCATCACGTTTCTGAATGTGAGCCACTTTTCGGAGGACTGATTTGCTGATGAATTTGTCTCCAGAGGCGAGGGCTGAGTCTGGACTATCGACCTCTGGCATCATGCTTCTATTGGTCTTGTTTACCTGCACTCCAGGGTGATGAAACAGCTGCATTGTAACGCTCCTCACTGCAAGAAACACAGCTCCACCCGTGAATCCAAGCAATATATATATCGGGAAAAGATCGGCTCTTGATTTAAGCTTGGCTGTGGTAGTATTCATGTCGGTCTTGGTGGCGGATGCAGACTTGGGGATGGTTGAGGAAACAAACCCGCGTTTCGTTCCACACAAATGATTGTAGCAAGAAATCGATCGCATATACCTCTGCATGAAAGCATTCCATCATTTGTTCATCCAATTTTTTACAACCATGTGATCCAAAAAAGAAATTCCTATTTTTTACATGCAAAAGGAGTATTGTGAAGAAATTGATGTCATATACGTACCGAAGCAAAGGAAGCCATGATGTATGGATGAAATTAACTTTGATAATGAATTATCAAACCTCAAAATTAAGGAGGAAGAAGTGAAGGGAAGGGGGATAGGAATTATTCTGATGTCATGTTTTTGTACATGTAAAAAAGTGGATGTGGGGAGGGCATGTTCGATACACTATGAAACTGTAAATGCAGTTTCAAAAGATGCGATACCGGGGGAATAGGAGTGATAGTAGAGGCAAAGAGCTTTAATCGGATAACTATATACGATGATTGGATGTCAAAACATCCACCCTACATTCAAGAGTTTATTTTTGCTAAAAATAGGTTGAGTTATTATTATTATTTATTTTTTTTGTATAATTTTTTTTTGTTAGAAATAGGTTACTTAGAATTTAGAATAGCTAACTTCTTATATTAAATCATCCACATACTCACAACTAACTATTATTAACTATTATTATAAAGTGGATGTCATCACATCCTACTAACTACTAACATTCTACTCCATATTATTTTTTTAATTAAATTTAATTTAAAAATATATTAAAAAGAATATATATATATATATATATATATATATATATATATTATATAATAATAATAATAAAATCGAGTATAGCATTATATCGGAGAGAAAAAAAATTAGAATTTTTTTGAATCATTAAAATAGAATCATGGATTATAAAAAGTGAATCATGGATCATAAAAATAATCCATGCTTTAATTTTAATGTTCCAAAAAAAATTTCAATCTTTTTTCTTTCCGATATAATACTATGTTCGATTTCATGATTTATATATATATTTTTTTCATTTTTTTAAGATGTCCTCACGAATCCTCACCGAAAAAAAATCCACACCCGTTCCTATCTCTCTCTCTCTCTCTCTCTCTCTATATATATATATATATATATATATATATATATATATATATATAAAACTAGTTTTTTATTCAATAAAAAAGTCATTACATTAATTAAAAAAACAACATAAAACAAAATAGAAAAAAACAATAAGTATTACAAACACAAACAATTACCCTTAAACCTATTTTTTTAAACAATGTTTTTCCATTTGGGGAATTCTTCAACTTTTGCTAAGCTTTGAGATATATAACACATCTATTGTTTGTGTTTTGTATTAATCTATTGCCACATTAACCAAATCCATATTACCTTCGTGTACACTATTTATAGCAAAGTTATAAATTCTATCGAAATCGCAAAATTTAACCCTCATATCGTGCCACTTTGAACATATGTCATCAAGATTTAAATTTAAATAACCCATTAAGCCTTAGAAATCGCTTTGAACTTTTCCCTAAAAATCTCTACATATTTGACTATCTTCGTCTTTGGAAACCGACACATATACTTGTGATAACTTCTCTTCTTCCTCTTCTGACCAATTCATCCTTTTGAGAGTCATTGTTTTCGAAATAGTAGAGTAAAACAAATGTGTGGTTGTAAATAAAATAAGAGAATAATGGTGTGAAATATAGGAAAGGTTGTAGTGGTATTTATAAAGGTTTATAGTGGTATTTATGTATGTAAAAGTAAAATAAATAAATAAATAAATAAATGTCAAAAGTAGCTATTACACATTGTCAAATGAAGAGTCAAATGTTAAATGATTTTGATTGGCCGTTCTAATCTGGTTGGCATCACCCTCGACAACGACTATGACGAACCACGAGGGTCCAGGTTGGTGTGCATGAACCACGGTCGTGGCCATCTAGACCACGAATCCCTTCTTGCTATACATTTTGAATGGCCTTATATGTATTATCATTATTGAACCTTATAAGTTATAAGTTGAGTCCTTCAATTATTAACGTATTTTTTGTTTACAACTTTTCTATTTTTTTAATAATTAAAACCTTTAGTTTTTACATTTATTAAATATTACATGTAAAATAATTTATTTAAAGTATATATTTCAGATTAATATATTATCTTTAATAAACTATATTATTAAATAAATCTCATAAATAATGTGAAAACAAGGATTGCGTAGATAAGGTTTGAAAACCCAAACCTTGAGTTAAACAACTACAATGGTTGCTTAAATAGATACGTTAGGAAGTAAAGCGGAAAACAACCAAAAAATATTACTCAAGACACAATATTTATGTGGTTCGGTCAAGGTGACCTACGCCTACGGGTACGAAGGGAGAGTTCTTTATTTATGAGCTCTTACATAGAGATGACAAGTACAATTTCAACAGAGATTCGCCTACCACTGTAAAATACATGACACGTCAAATAACTAGTAAATATCCCTATTTATATTGAAGGGATTAGACCTAAAATCCTAATGAGCAAAGCCCATTGGCCCATAGGCCCATGATAGGTGTCAACGAAACACAATCTACCATGCAACATCTTCTGGAACGTTCATCCATGACAAACAACACATAAGCATCAACAATGCATATGATGAACCACTATGAGCCATAGTGAAGCATCATGACGCACATGTGGCACATTATGAACACTAGTGGTGCATCATTCATCTTGGTGGTGTGTAACATCCCAAAAATACAACCTAAATTTTTTTGTTTTAACATTACTAAAAGCCATAACATCAAATGTTATATAACAAAACCATGTATCGCGTATCTCAAAATGCCATAATAAATGTATCAAATCAAACTGAAATCAATATCATATCAAAATGTCTGAATAAACTCCCAGGATAAAACTGTGACTGTGGTGTGTGCTGTGCCATCAACCCGAGCTCTTCCCCTTGTAGCAGGTGTACTTGAAACCAAAACTGAAACTGTAAGAACAAAGCTTAGTGTGCTCCCCCAAACTACCACATACCATACAATAACATATAAAGCACATATTGGGACTTCCCACCATATCAGACCGAAATCCAGAAACTGCATCAGAGCGAAATCCAGAAACTGCCTCGGATCGAAGTCCGGAAATTGATCAGGGCCTTTCCCTATGCATCGGATTGAAATCCGGAAACTGCATCGGACCAAAGTCCGGAAACTGCCTCAGGCCGAAGTTCGGAAACTGACCAGGGCCTTGCCCTCAACATCGAATAGAAATCAAGAAACTGTATCGGACCGAAGTCTTGTAACTGCCTCAGACCGAAGTCCGGAAATTGACCAGGGCCTTGCCCTTTGCATCGGACCGAAATCCAGAAACTACATCGGATCGAAATCCGAAAACTACATCAGAACGAAGTCCGGAACAATCCAGGGTCTTGCCCTCTGCATCGGACTGAAGTCCGGAAACTGACTGAACATAGCATAGCATAATCATAAACTACTAGCATAGACACATATACTGCATACTGCATCAGACCGAAGTCCGGAACACATACCACAAACATATGCTTGAATCACAAAGACATCAAGCACCCTGAACTACTGCATCAGACCGAAGTCTGGAACTACTGCTAAAAAACGGGCCGACATTGTGGCCGTAGACCTGTTCCTACTAGAAGGTAACTCACCTCGTAATGCTGGCTGCTGAGATGCTAAATCTAAAACTGCCTGTCTGCTACTCCGAAACTCCCCGGCTACAAATCCCATAAACACTATATAAAATATTGATAACTATTCTCAAGGTAAAATGACCATTTTACCCCTGGTCAAAGTCAGCATCCAAGTTAAAGTTAACTTTCAGTTGATCAGACTCGCCAAGTTGGGCCGCCAACTCGCCGAGTCCTTATAATCCATTCTAATCCTCTACCCGCTTCCACTCGTCTAGTTTGGAAGACTTGACGAGTTCTTCTTTGATACTAACATCGAGTCTAACTTCATCCGACTCGCCAAGTTGTTTGAACAACTCGTTGAGTGCTCCTTCATCATATGAACATGTCTGTCTGTGACTCGCCGAGTTGTATGAACAACTCGTCGAGTCTGATCCTGGGGCCAAGAATATTGCCTTGGACTCGCCGAGTCCTCTGCATGCCATTACTATATATCCGATTATAGTTGATTTCAGTGCATCTAATTCATAGATCTGGGCTTCTAGGGATGGTTTTTCATGTAAAGTTTCCAACTTTACGTGCATGCATACGAGAATGAGGCTAAAATACCAAAATCATCCAATACTAAGCACTTAGGGTTTGGAACAAGGCTATTTCCGCATAAAGGTAGCTACATTGAGTTCCTATATTTCAATAACATCCAGATCTATGGTCTCCATCCGAAGGAGAGCTCATATCTCGAGTTTGAATCATAAAAGGCTCCAAAAGAGACATAAAAATCATACAAGAGGGCTTAATGGAGGAATACACAAGGTAATAACTTTATTACCTGAATGGGAATCAGATGGAAGCTAGCTCTTGGATCTCCTTTCTCTTCTATGGACCTTCTTTCCTTCCTTCTTTTCTATAATTCCCAAACTATCACAAAACACTTAAGCTCAACAAAGGGGGACTAGGGTTTTACATAGGAATGCTCTAAAGGTGATGAAGGCTATAATGAATTTTAAATAGGGTACAAACCCTGGGATTTAGGGTTTCATCCAGACAAGCGGATTCTCCCAGTCCGAAATATGGACTTGTCGAGTCGCCAACTAAGAACGTGTGTAAATCCCGTCTCTACTCGACGAGTCGGGCTACATACTCGTTGAGTTCCTCTTAAGGAAGGAAAATACTTATATTTAAATCACATACCAGAAATGGGGTGTTACAATTCTCCCCCACTTATCTTAGACTTCGTCCTCAAAGTCTGCTGCTGCTGAATCCAAAAGTAACTCTGGATAATGCTCCCTTATCTCTTCCTTGGTCCCCCACATTCACTCTGAACCTTTCCGGTGTTGCCACTGCACCTTTACTAGTTGAACCACCTTTTTCCTCAAGGTCTTCGTCTTTCGATCTAAGATCGTAACTAGTCTCTCAATATAATTTAGTCTGCTATCAACCTGAATATCCTCCAAAGGCACGACTGCTGACTCGTCCACTAAACGCTTCCTCAACTGGGAAACATGGAAAGTGTTGTGGATCTGGCTAAGCTCTGCTGGAAGATCCAATTAATAAGCAACCCGACCCACCCGCGCCGAAACCCTAAAAGGACCAATAAACCTGGGGCCCAGGTTGCTCCGCTTCTTGAACCTGATAACACCCTTCCAGGGTGATACCTTCAGGAGGACCATATCGCCCACCTGAAACTCCAAGGCCAAACGTTTCCTGTCGGCGTAACTCTTCTGCCAACTCTGCGCAGTCTGCAGTCTGCTACGGACCTGCTGGAGCAACTCTGTAGTCTTGAGTA